GTAGTAGTAGTAGTAGTAGTAGTAGTAGTAGTAGTAGTAGTAGTAGTTAGTAATAGTATAGTTAGTAGTAGTACAGTAGTGACCGAAGTCAACTCAATCGAACTAACTCAACCGGGTGTGATCCACGTGTTTTCCTTACGCGATGATCGGGTAGGCATGAAGCGATTCTAATTTGTTGAATAATCTAAGAATAGGAGTTGTTCCGACTTGTTCTGGACGTGAAGACCATGGAAATCTGGCTTGAGCATGGAGGAACCCCAGTCAGCCAGTCAGCCAGTCGTCGATCCCATGGCCTATTGATCCATGGTGGCCAGGTGGAGAGTCGATTCCTCTTTGACCTCGTCTCACCGTTGGTCTTGGAGAAGGCACCGGTGCCCTTCCGACCCGGTCTGGCCACGTGGTCTGGCCCAGGGCGCTTCAGCGGATCAGCCGTTGCTACCGCTTGAAAGGGGTTTGGGGGGCCCCACCCTGCAGGTGAAAGGAGATGTGTTCATTCGCCATTTCGGTAAGCTGGCGATTCAAAAGCCAATCGCCCACATCAATAAGTGTTTCTATCAGTTGCTTGTGCGCAGACAGATATCAACGGAAAAGGATTAAGAAGGCTCCCATCCATCTCACCGTGTTCACGTAAAGACTTGGTCAACAAGTTCATCACTGCACCATCTTCAGTAAAGACCCTGCCCAATCGCCATCTTTGAATATTGCCTGGAGTGTCCGGCATTTTGTAGAGTGTCTTGGCGGGCATTAGAATCTCCGTGAGCATTTGGTTTTGGTCTAGTTTACCTCTTCCAAGGATATTTTTGGAGGGTCACCCTAGTCCAATGCACACCCATACGGCACATACGATGGTACACGGTTGTACAGGGTCACTGGGCCCTGCCACAGGCACCTGCCTTGTCCGCCACCGAATGGGTCCTCCTGTTGCGCGGCTTGGACGGCAGTTCCTCCAGATTTCTCAAGACAATCCATCATCAAAGGGTTATTCAATGTAGCATTCCGATCCCAGCTCGCACCTGACCTTTCAAAGGCCTGGGGGGGGGTAGATCAAAATTCTACCATGGGACCCGGGAGGTCTCAGGTATCAGACCATGCGCCCAGGTATCAGTGGGATATCCAATGGACATGATCTAGACTCAGACCACAAGGATGCACGACATCGTCCAACGCCGGAATTGCTTTGGGAACACCGAAAACTACGGGATCCATAAAGATGCGCGACGCTTAGTGTCCCACTTGTATGTCTCATCCAAAATGATGGTTTAACACGTGTTTGTTCCAGGCCCGACGTTGAATTTAGGATCGACATAACAGGTATATAGACAATATAGATACATCAATGCGCATCAGAGCCCGACCCTGTGAAATATCTTTGTCTATCGCAACAAAGTAAACTGCTGACACTCCCAAATATTTGTATCGCTGCAAATAGTGCCGCATGTCTCAAAAGTTCCAAAACGATCCTTTGGGACGTTTCAGCTGCCTGCATCTCAGGCAGCTATGCCACGCTCGAGCACCGGGATGAGATGTTTCTCTCAGCCTTGGAACTTCACCTCAAGGCCAAAGCCTCCACGAAAAAGCCTGCCTATATATCGAGCGATTGGGGGACCTCCACAGCCAATTGTGGATCTTTGATGATCTTTGTGATCTTCAGGCCATTTATTTGTAAGTTGATGGACAGAACAGAGTCTGCACCACAGCAGTTCTTTGTAAGCCTCATGGAGGGAGGCGCACAGAAGTTATCCAGTACCATTTCAAGCACCTTGTTCTGTTCACAAAAGTGTGTACGAACGCATCATGTAGCCTTAAGACCTGGAACATCCTGGAATCGATCGAAGCCCTCAGAACTGGACCTGGTCCGAGTCTGCGCGTTTGCTTGCTCAATCCGTCACACAGATGAAAGAATTACAACGGAAATCTATATAGGTGTATACCAGGACCCTCCAAATGTGTCCAATGGACTACCCCACACTACCTATAGGCTTCCCTTGGGCACCCCTTGGAGGGTCCTGGTATATATATATATATATAGTGGATTCTGATATGTTGTAAACTCTACATGGGATCATTGAACCCACTGACTCATATATCTTATATCATATTGTTTGTGTTCGTGAGCGTTGAAAAGTTGAAACCAGGAAATCATGTAGGAAGAAAACAAGGACAGACAAAACGCTTGTGCCATTCAAATCTGTGGTGGTTCTGTGCGGCAACTCGGCGTACGTTGCGTTGGGTCACCAAAAGACAGGTCTTCTTTCATGAGTTGAGCCAGCACAGCCCGATTGGCCCGACAGGTGGAGCAACTGAGTTCCTGCCAACAGAAAGAGGTCAACGACATGCTTTCACAGCTGCAAAGAAAAGTTTGAAAAGGTCCGTCAGCAGATTGAATTGTCACATGTGTTACGGACCACTTAAAAGGTCCGTCGCTTCTCTTTTCGGTCCGACGGGGTTGCAGGAGTGCATCCAAAGAGCTTGTGTGATTCTCTGGTGGTTTCAAGATCGCCACCCCCTTGCCTAAGGTTTTTGAGGGGGGACGTAAATAATGTAAGTTACATTTTGGGGGGGGGCCCATAAATGTATGTTGGACCCCCCCTCTACTTTTTCACCGGTGTTTTTCCTGGGGATTGACCGGTGGACGTGTAAGCTTTTTTTTGGGGGGGGGGGGGGTGGGCTGGCAGGGGTTCCCCAGGGAATCACCGGTGAGTGCTCAGAGTGCAGGAGGGGGGGGGAGGGGGTGGTAAAAATGTAACTTACTATGTGGGCACGTGGCAACTTACATTTTACAGGGTACCTCTGAAAAGGTAACATATCACCTAGGCACATGGTAGCTTACATTTTACAGGGTACCCCTCAAAATGTAACATACTAACATACTAATCCTCAATGATACTCCATATACTCTGTGAATCCTGGAAGGAAAGCGTGTTTGTTGCAATTTGGAGCTTGCTGCACTCTTGAAGTTGCTGAGATCTGTTGGCTTCTAGGCAGAAGATGGCAGAAGTGATGATATATAAACAAGATATATAACAAGATTACATCAAACAAGATTTTGTTGATGAGGGTTGGAAATAATCCAAATGCTGATCCACAAGATACGCACAATATCACACAATATTTTTCTACAGATGGCCGACGCGAATTCAATGTGGAAGCTTGAGTGGCGCCGGCGTGTTGCTGGATGTTCTATGGGCACTATTGATTGCCCCTTGTCTGACTCGGGCTCTGGGTGCAAGTGAAATTTGTAGATGTTACATGATCTCATGTGGTGGATGTGATATCATTTCATGTTGTGGGGGTCGCAGCCCTTTCCATTCTGAGGGTACTGGCACCCTCCGGATGGTTCAAAGAAGTTGCGGACCTTCGGCAGCGCGGTGAAGTACAGCCAAGAGAAGAATTTGCCATTGCCTCCCTCAAAGGACTGCTTGCGCTACCTTACGTTTAGCTAATCTAATATGCGCTTCAAATTTGAGATATTTTGAGATATCTTGGATTGACAGTGGAGGATCTCAAAGCTGTCACGGAAGATGGTGTGGGCGGCTTTCTTCCGGCGCAGGCGGTATCGCAGGCAAGCAAGCCAACCAACCCTTCTGTTCTCAGAGTTTTGGAGTCATATTTTTTACCAAAATTGGTCTGTGGAGAGTAGATGGGAGTAGAGCCAGGGGATTGCTCGGCAGGACGCATCGAAACAGGACAAGAAGAAATCAACGGAGGCCAGCCAGAAATCTGATGCAGATATCTGGAAAGCATTGGAGGAGAAGTCTGAACGAGGGGAAGCCAGTTGAACGATGTTGAAAAGAAAGTCTATCAATTGCCTTCCCTACAGGAGACTGCAAGTCAATTGCCGGATTTCACCAGCTTTGGAGACATGCCAAAGAAAGAGGAGAATGTTTCAAGATATAGTAGAACATAGCAGAGACGTAAAAAAAGTAAGTTAACATGCCAGAGGTCTGGATTGCATCAGTATCTCCTGCAGGACGCTTCCAAGGAGATGCCTGAGAAGAAGCCTGAGTGCGTTCCAGATGATTCCATGAAGGAGAACATGGGATGATAAAATAGTAGGTATTGGAGAAAAAAATGTAAGTTGAGGTGTCAGAGGTCTGGATTGAAACATTGATAACTGCAGGACACTTCCATCCATAGGCACTCAACAACAATATAATATATTATAAAATAACATATCATCCATAGGTCGTCAACAAGAAAATCAAGCTACTGCACTAAATAGTGGAAAATGTAAGTTGATGTGTCAGAGGTCTGGATTGAACCATAGATAACCACAGGACGCTTCCATCCATAGGTATTCAACAACAATATAGAATAACATATCTTCCATAGGTGGTCAACAAGAAAATAGATCTACTGCACTAAATAGAGTAAAATGTAAGTTGCTATGTCAGAGGTCTGCATTGATTCAGCGCTACCTGCAGGATGCTTCCTTTGAGATCCAACCTGTGGAAACTGCAGGTGAAAAGAATGAGGAGAGCAACGGATATAGAAAGATGCTGAAAAATGATCAAGATGTGGAAAGAAAAAGATTTTTTTGTTTCAAATCCTTTTCTGTCTCTTGCAGGAGACCTTGGTAGACAAACCTCACCAAAATCAAGATGCCTACATGAAGGAGCAGGCCCTGCAGAGCATAGAAGTCCTTGTTTTTTTTTTTTGTGGGGGGGGTTTGGTGAAATCTAATCATTTTTCTGCAGGACGCTGATGCTTCCACTGAGATGCAAAGACACCAACAACCTCTAGATGTTGCCATGGAGGAGCAGAGCAGCACGTTTTTTGTATCCTCTTTTCAAAAAAAATGTAAGTTGGTATGTCAGAGATTGGGTTTAAATCAGTGCCTGCTGCAGGACGCTTCCTTGGAGGTGCCCAAGATCGAACCTCCTCAACCTGAAAAGAACCAGGTGGAGGACCAGATGTAGAAGATGTGTTTTTGCTCAAAAATATATAAATGTAAGCTAGCATGTCACAGGTATGATTTTAATCAGCGTTTTGTTTCTGCAGGAACAATCCAAGGAGATGCATGAACACACACCTCAACCAGAACCAGATGCTTCCAAGAAGGAGCAACGAAGCGGTGTTTTAGCAGACAAAAAGATCGTAGAGATTAGTTTTGAGAGATACGTGTTTTCAAAAAATGTAAGTTGATACAACTGAGATCTGGAATCAATCAGTGCCTGCTGCAGGACACTTCCCTGGAGGTGCCCAAGATCCAACCTCCTCAACCTGAAGAGAAACACGTGGAGGAGCAGAGTAGTGCACTTGGTAGGTGGTAGGTTGTGGTAGAAGGATAGATAGTGAAAGATGGAAAACGTATTTTTGCACA